GCACTAAAAGGAGGCTTAATTACTTCAATACTGAATGTAGCTCTGTGTATTTTAGCATTTCTTCTTAAGAAGGGTGCAAAGATGTTGATTTTGAAATTGAGAGTTTATTCAGAAAATCTTCTGAGATCATTTGGGGAGAGCAGTGCCAAGATAAGTTGCTACCAATATTTACCTAAACTTGAAATGTCATCAAATCTTGATTTAGAAGTTCCACAAAAGTAGGCAAAGAAAAAATTATCTTCTTTCATTTTCTTTATCTTTTTTTTTTTTAACATATGCTTACTATAGCTAAATGCACTCCTTGTGCAGATGAACTGATTTAAATTCTATAGTGTGAATTTATTAACGGGCTAGTGATGGTGATTGGTACCCAGTAATTATTTGATGTAGAACTCCCAGTATTGATTCCAAATAAGGTCATAGGAGCGTATAAAAGGAATTTGAATGAGCCAGGCAAAGATATTTATAGCTCTTCTCAGAGTATATCGTCACAAATTCTTGTTACGCCTGTGGATGCAGAGTCTTCAAAATATCTGTCCCCTGCCTGTGGACATAAAGGCAGCGTGTTTGTGATCTATCCCCATCTTACCCCGCTGCTCATGGCAGTGGTGTGCCTACGAGCTATTGTAACTATCAGTTGTTTGGCCATTGGACGCGCTTTCCCCATGTGTGCTCTTGAAAACTTGAACTTTGCTAACTGTCCTGCACTTCTGCACACAACAGCTGAAGCGCTGGTACTGCGTGCTGTGTTCCAGCCTGTGGCCTCTGCCCTTTCTTTGGCCTGTAAACTATTTAATGGGTAAACAGATGCATTGCTGCTTAGGTTGCAGTCGTACACCAAAGACATGTATGGTGAATAAATAATTTTCCTTGAGAGTTCACAGCTGCAAGGCTATTGATTTGAAGCATCACTTGCCAGAGCAGCTAACGAAAGTGTCTTCAGACCTGGAGGAATCAGATAATGAAATCTGACTGAATGGGCAAGAAGATGTGATTCTGTTGGTTGTGGCAATGAAGACAACTGCTGGCGCTGAGAATGTGTAAAGGTAGAAGTTCTTAGTGGGGCTTGCTATCTCATTAGAAGCAAGCACTGCGCAGACCCAGGCTAGTGGCAGGAGGGAAATGGCAAGTAACCATTAATCCTAGTCCCAAATGGTGCACTGATAACCAGGCGTAATGTATAGTAACAGGATGTATGCCGTTGAAATAACTTATATTGTCATCACTAATGTTGGTGGAGTAATTTCTGTCGAGTACTTAAGGAGTCTGATTCCCTGTTAGAATGCAGTTTATGGGGACACATTGTCATTATCTCTAGAGGAAACCTGCTCTCTGTCTTTTTCCCTGTCATAGGAGGTATCTCCTTGCCTCTTGAGCATGAAGTATGTCCCCCTATTTTTGTTGCTTTCTTTGTGTCCAGACCAGACAGGTCATCCTTCAGAGCTGTGTTACAGTTTCACAAATGCTCACCTGGCAAGTTGCTGGGCAAGCTACTGCTCACCTTATGTTATGCTACTCTGCACTGATAGTTCATTGCAGTCCTCTGTTGTAGGCTTTTTGTAGCTCAACTGCCAATGTTTGTATGAGAAGGAAGATCAGACTGCTAGGCAGGGCACCAGGGACCCTTGCTTACTTGCTTAACAAGCGGAGCATGTTAAAGTGTGAGCTTTGTATTGGGTTTGCATGGCAAAGTTTTGGTAGTGGGGTTGCAACAGGGGTGGCTTCTGTGAGAAGCTGCTGGAAGCTTCCCCCATGTCTGACAGAGCCAGTGGTAGCCGGCTCCAAGACAGACCTGCCACTGGCCAAGGCCGAGCCCATCAGTGACAGTTGTAGTGCCTCTGTGATACCATATTTAAGAAGGGGAAAAAAATCAGTGTGCAATGGCAACTGCAGCTGGAGAGAGGAGTGAGGATGTGTGACAGAAACAACTCTGCAGACTTCAGGGTCAGCGAAGAAGGAGGGGGAGGAGGTGCTTCAGGTGCTGGAGCACAGATATTCCCCTGCACCCTGTGGTGAAGACCATGGTGAGGCAGGCTCTCACCCTGCAGTCCCTGGAGGTCCACAGTGGAGCAGATGTCCACCTGTAGCCCCTGGAGGACCCCACACTGGAGGGGGTGGATGCCTGAAGGAGACTGTGACCCTGTGGGAAGCGCACTGGAGCAATCTCCTGTCAGGATCTGTGGCCCCAGGGAGAGAGGAGCCCACGCTGGAGGAGGTTTACTGACAGGACTTGTGACCCCATGGGGGACCCACGCTGGAGCAGCCTGTTCCTGAAGGACTAAACACCATGGAAAGGACCCAGGCTGGAGCAGTATATGAAGAATTGCAGCTCCTGGGAAGGACTCATGTTGGAGAAGTTCATGGAGGACTGTCTCCCATGGAAGGGACACCACACTGGAACAGGGAAAGAAGAGGAGTCCTCCCACTGAGGAGGAAGAAGTGGCGGAAACAATGTGTGATGAACTGACTGCAACTGGGAATGATAGAGCAGTTTTGGTGGGCACCTGGTGCCCAGCCAGGGTCAAACCACCACAGCTTGCAGGGCTCAAGTCATTCCTCACTGGTTGCCTACATGCTAGCTCTCAGCCTGTGGCAAATGTGAGGTAGGTTTAGCTCTGTGTTCCGTGTTTGTGCCTTGGAGGCACAAGAAGAATTTTGACAGATTATTGGTGGATAGTGGCAGAACTAGGTCAGAGCTTGTAATGTTTGGAGGACATGAGTGGACCTAGTCTCCCAGAACACTAGATGGATGGAGTGAAGAGATTTTCTAAAGCAAGCTTATCTTGCCCTGTTGCCTTCTGTTGTAATGCTTTTTACCAGAATCTGCTACATGTTAAAGTAGATCCACTCATTCCCATACAAGCCAAAGAGGGAAATACCACCTGTATGCAGGTGGGGGCCATCTTCTACCTTGAGGCCAGGGGAAAAGTTGAATGTCTCTTCTTAGCTTTGAGTGGATTTAATAAATAAGCTGTATCTACTTAAGGTTAGGATTTGTGCTTTCACCTCCTGCTGTTGAGCAGAAGGTTTGTGGCCTTCAGCTTACAGGGTGTCTACTTCTGCATAACCATCTGTCCAGCTCACAGGAGCTAGCAAAGACTTACTGTGGGATCCGGCCACCGCAGTTCAGGATACTGCTAACAAAGCTCTATGAGGAGATGAATGTTCTCAAAACTCCCAGCATAGCAGGGGGCCATTCTGTAGTTCCCAGGAGCCAGTCGGGATGTAGTGCTCTTTATTGTGGTTCCTTACTTGCTGAGACCAACTCAGTGGGTCACTTGACTTGTCTCCTGCTTTCCAAGGTTCTGTTTAATATGCAGGAGACGCGTGCATCCGAGCAGGCTGGTTTATGAAATGTGCTTCATCTGTTCCTCTTCTCTTTTCAGAGGTGTCCAGCCCTTTAAAAGACCAAGTCAACTCTGCTTCTAGGTTAGTGTGTCCTGTAGTCTGTTTCCCTCCATTAGGATTTTGATAGCCAAACTTCCAGCTGTATATCAAGATGTCTGCTGAGAGATGTTGCACTTTTACCAAGTTGAAAAGAGTGAGGGAGAGGAAATTTGTTGAAGGCAAGCAGTTCTTTGCCATTTGTTTTTTTAGAAGATTTTGCTCATCTGTATGTCAAAACAGTTTAATTTAAGATAGCTTTGCAAGTGACCAATGTGAAATTTAAATTATTGGATTTCAGTTTGAGAAAATGGAAATTTCAGCTTAGCTTTGGGAATTCATGAAAACCTACTTCATTCCTCCGATTGCCTGGACTTGTGAAGTTCTCAAGCTTCCCCCATTCGTTAGGAATGTAATCATCTGTTTCTTGCCGGTTTGTGAGCATCGCTCATATTCACCATTTGTAGTGAACATGACCAAGGTTAGCTGTACTTCTGCTCCTGTCCACAGCGCTGCTGTTCACCAGCAGTGCTTATATCTGGGCTGCATCCGAACGGTGTTTCTGTCAGTTCTGGAAATAACCGGCGCTTGACCGTTGCTACTTGAGCACGTTGATAAATCGCTCCAGGGCAGTACAAGAGCCAGCAGTGTGCTGGACGCTGTTCCTTCGCCCATTCCACTCTGGGGTAATCCTGCTAGCTCTCTGAACTGAGGTTCAACCCATGTTGTCTAAAAGGGTGGGGGGGAAAAAAACCAAAGAGAGTTATACTATTGTAGACTGTTGTTGAGGAGAAACGTTGATTGCCACACATTGCCAACTGCATTGTTTAAAAACATCATGTTGAGGGTTCTCTAGGTAACTGATGGATGTGACTTTGTAACACAGGCTGCAACAGAACCTTAGAGGACAAAAACCTAAATTTGACTGTATCTTGCTGCTTGTAAGTTAATCCTGAGAAAAACTTCTCATGTATTGGAAGTAATAAGTGCGTTGATTCTGACTTGTTTCATGTTTTCTTAGTGTTTCATTTTTTACTTAATTTATGTCCCAAGCACACAGGGGCTAGTACGTTTTATTTTCATGGTATAATATCCATTGCTTTATATAGTATTTGGATGAAGTTTAGTTTCTAAATGTCACCACTGATATGGAAATTTTCAGCTTGAGTGTCATGCTTTTGTTTGTGAAATACGTTCATAATTTTGTTTAAAACGGTTCTGACAATAGTGTTGGTGTCTGGCTTTGTATGGAACATGTTAAGGAAGTCAGAGGTGAGGATGGAAGGCTGACACTGACTTCCTAGCATTCAGCTCCTCTTTGCCCACTTGGCAGATGATTACTATTTTTTATCTTTGTGGCTGGTTTCCCTTATCCTTGCAGACCAAAGGGATACTTTATTGTTACATTTAAAAGTTAAAATTTTTTTTAGGATTATGCCAGGCATTAGAATTAAGAATTCCCAAAGCAGGACTATCTAAATTTACTGAGATAAAAGTGAATCTTATGTGAAATTTTACTGTTTGGTTTAAGAAACTTGTATGACTGCACAACTTTTCTATTTGTCTGTATTTCTGGACATAAATAATACTAATTTTTAATTTTTCTTGTAAACTAGGCAAATGGTGGCTCGAAGTTTGCTGGACACTTTGAAGGAAGTCAGTGATGATGAGAGAGATTGTATTGCTGTGTTGGAGAGGATCAGCAGATTAGCTGATGATTCAGGTAGGTAGCATTAAATATTTTACTGGGTTAAGTAACTGAGGGAAAGTCAGAATTGCTAAACCTGTGTTCAGCACAGGACCAATATGTTCTTTCTCATCTTCAAACTAGGCTTCTGCAAATGCAATAAAATACTGTAAAATTTAATTTTGCTAAATCATCCCTCCAAAGATGACTTTTTTCCTTACTATTTTCCTCAACAGAATTATGCCCCTTCAGAAGGTAGGATTACCGCTCTCCATCAGTACATTTTTTAAATAACTTCTATTATGTACTTCAGCTATTCAGCAGATCTACATGATTATTTTAGATTTGTAGATAAAAGATTAATTTCTTGCCTTGAAAAGAATCCTGCAAAACATCTGTGCAAAGCTCCTGTAAGTTTTGATAGAATTTAAATGCTGAGGTTATTCCCTTGGCCCCTTTTGGGCAACCAGTTGTGAAGGTAAGAGAGGCAGCAGGAACTGGAAAGCAAGATGCAGAGAGAAGTAATGAGTAGGAGGGCTTTGTAGATATAGAGGGGCTTTTGCTTGTGAATACATTGAGACGAGGTGTTTGGAATAAAAGGCAAAAGCAGGAGAATAGTGAAAAACAAATGTGAAAGAAAGGAGTGCTTAAGAAGTAGGGGGCAGTAGATGAAGGGAAAAATGGTGTGGACAGAGCTGCAACAAAAATCCAGGTTGAAGATGCTCTAGAAAGAATTAAGGGCTTGGTTTCAAGTAGCTGATACAGATGAAGCACAAGAAGGAAGGCTTTGGCAGCAAAACATCAGAGAAGATCTGAAGTACATTCTTTTGTCATTGTAGGAATGGAGAGAAACTTGTATTAAGTCTTGTATGAGAAGAAAATGTTTCTTCTGTTTAATGTCTGTTAGTTTTCTCCCTTCTTCTGGAATTGCAGAACATAATGCTTCCCAAGGGTAAAAAGGTATTCTGCTAATTTCTGTTATTGTCATTACTGTCTTCATTTAAAATGCACGCTTCTGTTTTTCTGAGGGAATGTCCTTGTTTAGCTCGGAAAATAGCGTGTTGTAAGCATTACATAATTGTATTGAGCACTTCTCCAAGGGTTCAAGAGGAAAAAATAAAGTCGCTATTCTTTTAAGATTAAATGTGTCTCTAATTGAGACCAGTGGCATGCTACTGTTTCTAGAGTGCTTTCCTAGCAAAGTTCTGCTTCTGAAATTTGTGTGTACAGTGCTTGTCTGTGTGACTGTGTTAACAGTTTTGAGCATGGGAAACTTTCTGAAGCTTCAGTTCAAGTTTGGGAAATAGGGCAGATGTGTCCAGGAGAAAATGGCCTTGTGCAGCAACTTTGTAGCCTTAGGCTTTTCACTGGTGACCAACTAAGTGCATCAAATTGAAGTTTGTTTAGGTAGAAATGTAATGAAAACCAAGAGTTGAGCTCAAATCAATTTGTTTCCTTTAACAAGGGTGGAATACATTTTTAGTCAGGGTTGATACTTTCTCAGCGTCAGTAAAAGTAGCATTTCAGGCTTTTCCTGCATTTGTAGAAGCTGTCTCAGATCTACCAAACTAGTAGCACTGGATTCTGCAGCTGCTCCACAAATTAAATTTCTGCAAACTTAACTGTGAGTTTCATGCCTCGAGCAGTTGCAGTATTGGACTTAGCCTGTTTCTGTAAGACAGGTAATTAGAATATCCTTGTGTCTTAAACCATGTGAAAATTCATTAGAGAACTAAATCTGCTTTGTTTTCTTAGTGTGTGTGCTTGACTATTACTCAAACTGCAGCACAGTGGGTTTTTTTGGGTTTTTTTGTTTGGTTTGTGGGAGGTTTTTTGTTAAGGTTGTTATTACTAGACTTGTTTTTAATTTTTCTCTTATCTGATGCTTTTTTCCATTTATGATACTTTTTCCAACTTGTTCTGTAAAACAAAAAAATAAATGAATTTGGAATAAGAAAACAATATAAAACTATCTTTGCATTTTGACTTGCTTGGTTAGGGCCATCCTGGAGTCAAGCTTTCCTATTTAAATGCATGAATAAATAAAAATAAAAACACACTGTTTGCAACTAAACTACGTACAGGACATATTTAAATGCATGAATAAATAAAACCACACTGTTTGCAACTAAACTACGTACAGGACTTCTCATTCTTGTAACTAGGCAAATGGTGGATCGAAGTTTGCTGGACACTTTGAAGGAAGTCAGTGATGATGAGAGAGATGGTGATGATCATTAGTCTTATGCCTGTTCTTAAACATTTGGAGGTATTTGTCCTCTGTTGTCAGATCAAGTCACAGAAAGTGAGGTACTTTTCCCTTTTTGGCAGTAGTTGTTATAATAAACACAAACTCCAAACTCTTTCTGATACTGCTGGAGAGAGATGGTGATGATCATTAGTCTTATGCCTGTTCTTAAACATTTGGAGGTATTTGTCCTCTGTTGTCAGATCAAGTCACAGAAAGTGAGGTACTTTTCCCTTTTTGGCAGTAGTTGTTATAATTTGGTTTGAATTGAAGAAGGTAGCAGGGGTACACAAACTCCAAACTCTTTCTGATACTGCTGCTGTTATCTAAAATATTGGTGCCGCAGTGAGCTAGAAATATCCATGGCCCTCAAGTTGCTTAAGCAGTCCTCTGTCCTGTTAATCCCTTGCAACTTCAGAAAAAAAAAATAATTATTTTTATTCTTCATGCACTGTGATTAACACTTTAAGACGTTAAATGTAATCTCTCTTGTGCTAAACACCATTTTAATGTGAAATAACAATTAATCTTTACTAGAAAAAGATCTGGGTCCAAATATGATTGTAGGATGGAAGGCACAAAAAATCATGAGATTATGGTTTGGTATGATTGACACAGATCTTGGCATACCACGTGCTAACTAAAACCTGAATTTTTTGAGGCATCATGGCAACAGCAAGTATCAGCTCTAAAACTATTTTTAAAAAACTGTTGACAAAAAATTCTTAAAGAAATAGCTTTGGGAACTCATTTGGACTCTTTGAGTAGTGACTTATTAATGTCAACAACTTATGAAAGTTTCTTTGGGGGTGGGGAAGAATTAAATATTGCCTATACCTAAAGGATGCTAAGTGATGTTTTAACATCTCTCTGTCAACAGCCAGTGTGTGGGTTGCAGGTGAAGTTGTAGTGAAGTTATTTTGTGAAGGAGAGTTCTGACTGCTGTTGTGTAACTGCACATACAAGTGATATAAAGTGAGTCTTCTCCTGGCAGGGCAGTTTGGACTCCTTCCAGTGAATTAGTTCCAGGTTACATGTGGTTTTGCAGCTTTAAAATCACTAGTATGTTTCTACTGGGGAAAAATACCCACTTCAGGTGATATTGGAAATGAGCTGCTTTCAGTGCCGGCGGAACACAGGAGCTGCTCTGCCCTGATATCTACATGTGTCTGGTATCTGTATCTGTATGCATCCTGCTGTATGTAAATGGAAGCACAGGATAGCTGTTCCAGTGAAGGAAAATCACCAGTGGCAGTTGGGGAATCATTTGTTGCCTCCAACTCTCTGACTTGCCAGAGAAGCTTTTTCTCCAAATCTCAGTTGTTTGGAAGGCTTATTTTCTTCAGTATTCATTTTCGTGGCTGTAATTGAGTTTTACTGCTAAGTCTGTGGTGTTGCTGTGTGGTTTGGGCATTTTTCAGTCCTTCTGAACTCTGGACTTGACTAATGTCGTTGGTAGCGGGTTCCCTAGAATAGTTACTACTGTGGTAAGAAAGGTGCTGTCCTGTATTGCTTTTGAATCTGCTATTTAATCACTTTATAATTTCTCTGTTTCTTTAGCGATGTTGGGTATGGCTTCCCACTTAAATGTTTTTCTGGTGTCTTTGAACCTATAGAAGCCAAGAAGCAGCTTGACATAGAAGCTCAGTGCTTGGCAAGTGTTAATTTATCCCCCATAAACCCTTGTTAGTGATAAAGTGCTTATCTTTGTGTTTGAACAGCTGGGCCTTCTTCATTCTCAAATGTAGGCTAGCTGCAGACTTATGTGTGCCTGAAACAAGGCCCTTATGTCTGTCTTTTTCACTTGAGTAAATTAGTAGTATTCAAACTTTTTTTTTGGTGCCAGCTTGTGAATGGCTTATCTGACTTAAAGCTTTATCACTGTGCACACAAATACAATTAACTGGCTTTGAAAGTTAGCCTCAGGCAGAATTATTGCATTATTGGCATTTTGCTCAGTGTGCTTGCAAAGCTAGGTGCTAGAAGCTTTATGTCTTATTTTCTGAGGGCTTTTTTAGAGGGAGAGTCTGTATCTTACTTTCTAAAATATATGTGGTATTTTAGTGTACCATGAAATAGATGCATATAGGTATCTTTCTAAAGAAATGGTGGGGAAAAAGAAAGTGACTTCCTGGAGGACTGGTGCTTATTTGCTTGAATATAATGAACTGGATTTTTTTTTTTTCTGCTGAATGAAAGTGTCTCTTTACTGCATAGAATCAGTTGTGAATGCAGTTTGCAAAACAAACTGATTTTAAAAAAACAATTATTACACTAATTAAGTTTTTAAGAAGCTGTATAATCAGGCTTAATGTGGGTAGCCTCACAACCTTAAGTACTTAATAGTGTGCTTAACTTCTGTTCTTAAGACTATTTCAGTTACTGCTATTGGTATAGTGAGAGATGCCAACACCTGTTGAATAGCACATATTACAGCATTTCATTTAACAAAATCTTTATATATAAGCAATATTAATGGGAATGCTAATATTTGCCTTTCCCAGCTGTCAATAGTGCCACCTGTTTTTTCTCCCCTCCCTCATCTTCATGTTTCTGGATTTTCCATGTCTTTTCTCCCATCTCCTGCTACACTAAGAATTTTTTCCTTTGCTTGATGTGATCCTCTTTTGTCTCTCCGTGCATCTGATGGATGACTAACGGTGACTTTACCCTCTCTCATTAGTCTGTGTTTCACTCCTTGCTCTGCCAGTCAGTAACAAAGTCCATTTCTGGTTGGTAAGAGAAAAGAACCTGACTACTGAATCAGGACATGTCAGACACATCAGTC